GTTTTCCTTAGTAGGCAAAAGCCGTATATACACCAAGGGGACTACCCCCATTTCTCGCAATATATAAAAAGGAGGTAGTGCTTATCCTGGTCCAAATTCAGGTAGGGCTTATCCTGGTCCAAATTCAGGTAGGGCTTATCCTGGTCCAAATTCAGGTAGGGCTTATCCTGGTCCAAATTCAGGTAGTGCTTATCCTGGTCCAAATTCACTTAAGAATACTTGCTTGTTGGCCAGTAACCAATTGTAGTGACCTAATCAACTCTCTAACGGTTGGTTGGAATTAAGGCCAACACGAAACCAACACCATTTTGACCAACACAAGGCAAAAAATGCGATTCATTAAAAAAATACAACAAACTGATACTAAAACCTCAAAAAAAAGTGACCAAACCTAATTCTCCAAAGATCTAAAACATTCACACTGACTTTTGACCTCAAAAGAGAATCTATAATGCTTACTTTTAATGAGGGGGCTCTAGGCCAAAATTAAGTGGGTTCATCCCATTGTGTTCTTCCCTCTTGAGTATAAGTCTGACCGCGGCTGGCTGGGCCTCCAAGGTCACATAGGAAGGGTACGTGCTCCTCTCAGTCAATGCCCCGGGCAGCAGGACTTGTCTAGAAATATTCTGTTATTCACCTTTTTTTTTGCGAGGACGTGAACTCTGCTTTTGTTCGCCAGTTGATATAATGTTGAGGGGCCCGACTTTGTGAAGCCCAGAAGATAAGACTAGGGAAGAGGTGGAATGAGGAATAAGGGCAAGAATAGAAGAGAGGGAGGGAGAGAGGGGGTAGGGAGAGAGAGAGAGAGAGAGAGAGAGAGAGAGAGAGAGAGAGAGAGAGAGAGAGAGAGAGAAAGAGAGAGAGAGAGAGAGAGAGAGAGAGAGAGAGAGAGAGAGAGAGAGAGAGAGAGAGAGAGAGAGAGAGAGAGAGAGAGAGAGAGAGAGAGAGAGAGAGAGAGAGAGAGAGAGAAACAGGAGGGGCAGGAGAAGCGGCAATCAGTCAAGTCAGACAGACTAACTTATACAGTTACAACATCACACCGTCCTATTTATAACATCCCGCGGGGCGTCGTGGTCTTGGAACAGCTTCGCGAGGCGGGACATGGAGATCCCTGTAATATGATAATGACGCGGTCCTTCCCAACCCCCTGTCGTACCTACAATGTGAAAATGACACAGTGAGCGAGTTGCGTCACTTCAGCACAATCTTGGCGCCTCTTGGACCGTACTACTCCCACTACCTCCATGGTTCGCTATTATCATCATAGTTTATTATAACTGCGGGTCGCTAATATGATAATGTTCCGCTTCTCCTGTGATTCTTAAAGAGAGATATTGGAAAATTTGGTTCCTTGGACCTATGTACTGGAGTTCAAAGGACATCTTAACCCTTCAGAGCGCAGGTGTGCCTTTCCTATGGAACGTCAGGAATCTCTCTCTCTCTCTCTCTCTCTCTCTCTCTCTCTCTCTCTCTCTCTCTCTCTCTCTCTCTCTCTCTCTCTCTCTCTCTCTCTCTCTCTCTCTCTCTCTCTCTCTCTCTCTCTCTCTTTCATTTTATGTTTCTTGGGCAGCCTACTCAACCAGTCATTCTTCAAACTTTGTTGTCTACGGAAAGATTGATCAAACCATCGGTTCTTCGGTAGGATGCCAAGCCGTTGGTTCTACAAACTTAATTTTCTTTATTTGGCGGCAGCTTGAGTCATCTCCTAAGAATTTTTGCAAAAGATATCCTATTTTTGTCAAAGGTTAACCACTCAAAGAGTTCTGACAGCAGTCTTTACTTGTAACTCTATCTGTGTTAGACTTCTAATGCTTGTGCAGACACTCAATGCTAGACGCAAGTTAAAGAGAATCACCAGCCGTCAATCTCAAAGTAGAGCAGTAACGCGGTCAACTGAATACACATCAGAACTCCGCGTCTGCTGGGCTGAAGATCGACCAGATTTCTTTTCCCCAATCTAATAAATACTTTTTTGGTATAAATAACTTGTAATTCAGATTCCTGGTTGGGTTTAGAGTTGGATACCTGACCAGGAGGAAAGAAAAAGTAAAGCCCTAATAATCCAAGCCGTTGATATATGCTTGAAATCTTGATTCCTATTTAGTTTTTCAATTCACGATCTGACTGAGAGTACATGTCTTCTGAGAACCCAAGAATGAACAGACGAATTCTTTTTTTTCATATTTGTACTGCTTTTTGCAAGGCAAATTTATACAGTGTTCTCTGCGGGAACTATTGCTGACATTGAATTATTTCGTTTTGTTTTGCCGGAGCAACTGGGGGCAGTAACTTCGTAACTCAAACCCACACGCTGTTTGGTTAGTAATAAATAAATATACTTGTCAGAGCACATTCCATCTGGTGGGAATGACTATGATGTGCATAGTTTTACTGAAAGTCGTCTACCATATAAAGTTTCAATGACCTGATATCGAGTTTAACCCTGGTGGGTGGTGGAGGGTATGGTTGAAGCTGTGTGTGTCCTGGTGGGTGGTGGAGGGTATGGTTGAAGCTGTGTGTGTCCTGGTGGGTGATGGAGGGTATGGTTGAAGCTGTGTGTGTCCTGGTGGGTAGTGGAGGGTATGGTTGAAGCTGTGTGTGTCCTGGTGGGTAGTGGAGGGTATGGTTGAAGCTGTGTGTGTCCTGGTGGGTGGTGGAGGGTATGGTTGAAGCTGTGTGTGTCCTGGTGGGTGGTGGAGGGTATGGTTGAAGCTGCGTGTGTCCTGGTGGGTGGTGGAGGGTATGGTTGAAGCTGTGTGTGTCCTGGTGGGTGGTGGAGGGTATGGTTGAAGCTGTGTGTGTCCTGGTGGGTGGTGGAGGGTATGGTTGAAGCTGTGTGTGTCCTGGTGGGTGGTGGATGGTATGGTTGAAGCTGTGTGTGTCCTGGTGGGTGGTGGAGGGTATGGTTGAAGCTGCGTGTGTCCTGGTGGGTGGTGGAGGGTATGGTTGAAGCTGTGTGTGTCCTGGTGGGTGGTGGAGGGTATGGTTGAAGCTGCGTGTGTCCTGGTGGGTGGTGGAGGGTATGGTTGAAGCTGTGTGTGTCCTGGTGGGTGGTGGAGGGTATGGTTGAAGCTGTGTGTGTCCTGGTGGGTGATGGAGGGTATGGTTGAAGCTGTGTGTGTCCTGGTGGGTGATGGAGGGTATGGTTGAAGCTGTGTGTGTCCTGGTGGGTGGTGGAGGGTATGGTTGAAGCTGTGTGTGTCCTGGTGGGTGGTGGAGGGTATGGTTGAAGCTGTGTGTGTCCTGGTGGGTGGTGGAGGGTATGGTTGAAGCTGTGTGTGTCCTGGTGGGTGGTGGAGGGTATGGTTGAAGCTGTGTGTGTCCTGGTGGGTAGTGGAGGGTATGGTTGAAGCTGTGTGTGTCCTGGTGGGTGGTGGAGGGTATGGTTGAAGCTGCGTGTGTCCTGGTGGGTGGTGGAGGGTATGGTTGAAGCTGTGTGTGTCCTGGTGGGTGGTGGAGGGTATGGTTGAAGCTGTGTGTGTCCTGGTGGGTGATGGAGGGTATGGTGGAAGCTGTGTGTGTCCTGGTGGGTAGTGGAGGGTATGGTTGAAGCTGTGTGTGTCCTGGTGGGTGATGGAGGGTATGGTTGAAGCTGTGTGTGTCCTGGTGGGTAGTGGAGGGTATGGTTGAAGCTGCGTGTGTCCTGGTGGGTGATGGAGGGTATGGTTGAAGCTGTGTGTGTCCTGGTGGGTAGTGGAGGGTATGGTTGAAGCTGTGTGTGTCCTGGTGGGTGGTGGAGGGTATGGTTGAAGCTGTGTGTGTCCTGGTGGGTGATGGAGGGTATGGTTGAAGCTGTGTGTGTCCTGGTGGGTGATGGAGGGTATGGTTGAAGCTGTGTGTGTCCTGGTGGGTGGTGGAGGGTATGGTTGAAGCTGTGTGTGTCCTGGTGGGTGATGGAGGGTATGGTTGAAGCTGTGTGTGTCCTGGTGGGTAGTGGAGGGTATGGTTGAAGCTGTGTGTGTCCTGGTGGGTGGTGGAGGGTATGGTTGAAGCTGTGTGTGTCCTGGTGGGTGGTGGAGGGTATGGTTGAAGCTGTGTGTGTCCTGGTGGGTGGTGGAGGGTATGGTTGAAGCTGTGTGTGTCCGGGTGGGAGGTGGAGGGTATGGTTGAAGCTGTGTGTGTCCTGGTGGGTAGTGGAGGGTATGGTTGAAGCTGTGTGTGTCCTGGTGGGTGGTGGAGGGTATGGTTGAAGCTGTGTGTGTCCTGGTGTGTGGTGGAGGGTATGGTTGAAGCTGTGTGTGTCCTGGTGGGTAGTGGAGGGTATGGTTGAAGCTGTGTGTGTCCTGGTGGGTGGTGGAGGGTATGGTTGAAGCTGTGTGTGTCCTGGTGGGTGGTGGAGGGTATGGTTGAAGCTGCGTGTGTCTTGGTGGGTAGTGGAGGGTATGGTTGAAGCTGCGTGTGTCCTGGTGGGTGGTGGAGGGTATGGTTGAAGGTGTGTGTGTCTTGGTGGGTGGTGGAGGGTATGGTTGAAGCCCTAAGAGATATGAAGGGAGAGAATGAGGTTTATGGGGAATGTGTCAGCAATTGTGGGTGACGATACACTTTAGTAATTCCAGTGTCTTCCAAAATTATCATCACTAATATCGCTTAAGCAGTTATACGGACGGTTGTTCTTAACAGCCCCCCCCCCTACACACACACACACACACACACATACACACACACACACACACACACACACACACACACACACACACACACACACACACACACACACACACACACACACACACACACAGTAAATGGGAAACCGTCGAATATATCTCGTGACCTTAATGAGCTTTTGTCTTCTTTAGAAGATCCATAATGTTTTTTTTATTCAAAGAAAGACGGAGAGAGAGAGAGAGACAGACATACAGACAAGAGCATACGAGTGTTGAATCCCAAACTCCATTAAAAATCTCTAGACAGGAATTCTTCTCATCCCACGCGGCTAAAAACAAATTTCAACTTACACACCGTCTCCAGGAGATAAGCATCTCAACTCCTAAGCTTGATAAATGAAGAAGGTGAGGTGACAGACGAGAGAGAGAGAGAGAGAGAGGGAGAGAGATCTATTCAGTGCTGGTGGCGGCAGGACAGAGGATAGGGGAGGATGACGGAGCGAGGGTCGGGTAGATTACCATGAAGAATAATGAATGTGGCGGCAGCTGTCCCGGAATGAGCCTTTCTTTATGCCCTGGGGGCCCCTTGTGGTGGGTTGGTTGCTGGTGTAGGACTCCCACATGCCACCCTGGGGCATGCTAATGGTCTCACATGGCCCCACATATACAGTAAATATATATATAAAGTGGAAATTTATCTTTTAAATTAACATTGTCAAGAACTTGTGAGGAGTGATACTGAACACTGTGATATCTTAAAGAGAAAGTTTGGGACCCACAATGGGGCATTACTTCTATATCTACATTATGTGTTCTACGAGTGCTTTTGGCGTCTGAGTTTAAACTAAGAAAAACCTAAAGGATATTTAAGGGGGATCGTAAGAAGCGATTGTTTTGGATGAATACATTATCTTTTTTTGTTTATTATTTGCACTCATAGTGTTCAACAGCTCTGCATGCAACATTCACATCTGTGTCTATAAGTAATTGTTTCATGTCATTCTACTAGAGTTATGATTTCTTGTATTCCAGGGTGCTATCCTGGTGACCTGTTTCCTGGTGAACCTTGGCATACGTCTTTACCTCGCCCCTGTGCTCACCAGGCTCATCACAGTCAAGGTAATTATACTGAGCTTAATCACCAGTAATAATAAATAAACACACAGTTTCCCCTTACGGAACACCAAAGAACTCACTTGAGGCACCAGCCTACACACTATCACCAGGCCGTCGCGGCCTTCCTTACAGGTTGGGAAGATAGTATTTAGACTCATGAATCAGAGACTAAAGCTGTTGTGCCATGTTCAGAATACCTGAATTTACGTATAGTCCTGAACTCAGTCACGTATGTTCAAACATACACCTGCGTCACTGTATCTCTACAATAATACATCATTCTCCTGTATTCCCAACAGATCGCCATCGAACGCGAGGCGGGTATGGGCGAGGAGGTGGCGAGCAGCAAGCCCGGGCGGCTGTCTCACTGTCCTCACTATATGAGGCTCCATCGCGCCTTCCGCAGGACTCACATGATCATCGCTATCGGCAACATGGTCTCCATGTCCGCCACCTCCCTCCATCTCTACTACCTGGCCACTAAACTCTGCTCCGTGCAGCTGTAAATGGCTCTTCCCTGCCGCTGTAAATGGCTGTTCCGTGCAGCTGTAAATGGCTCTTCCGCGCAGCTGTTCTGAAGTCGATATACTGCCCCGAGTGGACCAGGGAGTTCCACGTATATATTTCCCCCCAAGTGGACCAAGGGAGGCCCGAGAAAGCGCGCGCCCAGAGAACGACAAGACGTTAACAGAAACTTTCTAACAGACGTTAACAGCAACTTTCTAAACAGTGCCTGTTTGCTGCGACGGATGCTGGCACCAGGGCCACTCAACCTCGAGACCTCCTGAGTGGTGGTAGGAGGAGCACAGGTGTCCTGTGGGCGGGGTCATCGACCAAGCTTGTGCGAGCTGAGGTCGATCCTCTACAAATGAGAATCCTGAGGAGGATCATATTAACACCTTGAAGTATTTATTTGCTACCTTTACACCTGTGTTTTGGGCCTATCCCCCTCCCCCCAATCTCCCCAATCCTATATTGCACCGCAGGCACTATGACGTCATTGCTTGGCACTATAGTGTCATGAGGTGCCACAAGTGTCATCAGGTGACACTAGTTAAATTGGGTGTCACTTTCACCTGTATCGCCACAATGCACTTTATTAATATACTTGATATGAAAATTGCGTTAATATTCTCTACTGTTAACCCTCAAAAACCTGTATTTCTTCTGTTTGATTTCCTGGACAGTCAGACAGGTGTTATAGACAGACAGACAGACAGACAGGTGTTATGGACAGTCTAAATGGCATTCCGGACACTGACACCATCTTTCGTAGTAAAACAAAGTTAATCCGGTGTTTTATTCACCATGTTTGGGTCAGGAACCTAGCTTCCAGAGCTATGTAACTTTTCAAGTTACAGAACACATTACTTAACATTCAAAGTAACCTAACAGTGGGCAGTAAGTTCAGTGCAATGGTAACCCACGGGTACAGTGGCCTAACAGTGGTCAGTAATGCTGTTATCCTACAGGTACAGTGAACTAAAGTGGGTAGTAATCAAAGCAATGGCACAGTGACCTATCAGTGATCAATGTACTGTTAGCCCCCTGGGTACAGTAAAAATGGACAGTAACCATTGCGAAGCTAGCCCCTTGGAACATGGGTGTCTCATGAAAATGGGGTAATGGGTAATAATGGTAAATGTTTAGGAACTGTGAGAGGAAAGATTAAGAGTCAGATAAACAGAGTCACGGATATAGACACACACAAAAACGGACGGACACCCAAATACACAACGGAGCCAAATAGCATAAATTGTTCAAAGGCGGGATTTGAACCCATTCACTTGTCATATAAACATAGTTACACACTCACATCGTCAGCACTCACACAATCCCACGCACGCATAATCACACAATCACACACATACACACAAACACATACACATACAGTCATATACTCACAGTCCTCAATATATACATTAAACCCACCAAGAAGGTGAATTATGTTAAAAATTTAATAAATGGTTTAACAAACATAATTGATTCCATTCTAACATAACAGCATGGCTGCATACAAATCTATTAGAGTTAAATTTGTGTTCAAAATATACCATCTGAAAACTAGTCACGAATTGACCCATCCAAGAGACTTGGCCTTACACGAACGTGCAATAACGAACAGTTCGAGACAATTCCAGTCAACAAACTCCTGCTTCACTACTGAAGTATTGAATAACGTAAAGAAGTAAAAAAGAATTAGAAAAGTATACCATTATTCTACGTATAGAATACTCTCTGAAGGAGAGTGTTTCATGGTATTTGAGTGCTTCACAGGGATTTGAAGCTGGTACAAAGTATTCTCTCTCTCTCTACCACTCCGTACAAAATGCGACTGTTTTCCCTTACCAGTAAACGTACGGACCGCAAGTATCATCCAACCTTAACTTATCGAGTCCGATGCATAGAAAACGACAATATTACGATGATAAAAATTGCACTGATACGTCGATTTTTTTTTTTTACGGACAAGTTTATGCCGTTAAAAAATAAAATAATGGACGCATTAAGCTAATGGTAAAAATCGCCATTTACTATTTGTATTAATAACTTTCTCTAAATAGTATCTTTTTAACTATATTTTGTATATTGTGATATTATTTTAATTTTGTATGAATTTATATAAATATTGGTATGAATATCATAATTCTGTGTATTAATGTTAATATTATTATTATTATTTTTGCTGTTACCCTTATGCTATTATCTCACTTGCTAGTCGTTAGCAGTTAACTAGGTGTATATATATATATAAAATACGGACCCTTTGTATTACGTAGTTCAATAAAGAGAGCGGAGACTTACTTGGAGTTTCAGGTGCTCCTCAGAGTGTAGTGTGGAGGCCCAGAACGGCTGAGGGGGACTCATCCTTACCTACAAAACAATTAATAAAAGAAATGTAGTTGTCAATACATTATGTGCTGTAACATGTATATTATTGCCACAGATGTATTCATGGAACAGATGTATTAATGCAACAATGAAGCATTATTGTTACACAATACATGTATTGAACAATTAAATACTCGTATTGAACAATTAAATACTCGTATTGAACAATTAAATACTCGTATTAAAAATTGAAACAAAGGTTTTAAAAATACAACACACGTATAAAATAATACAACACAGGTACGCAAAGTGTAACAAACAAAATGGATAACAAGAGCAGATGAGTACGGATTTCGGTTGATATTATCCGAATTTTCGGTTACTGTTGCACACACACATGGCTCTGTCGTATGCAAGCATCAGATTAGAGGTGGTATTGCAAACCAAAAAGCGTACGAACCTCGGTTGATATTGTGGTACTTTTACTCTTACCAAAACATTGTACTTTTGACGCTATAGTCGATTAGAACAAACCCAAATCTAACGCAACCCTAGCTCAGTCTAATCTATTCCAGCCCTACATGGCTCAGTCTAATCTATTCCAGCCCTACATGGCTCAGTCTAATCTATTCCAGCCCTACATGGCTCAGTCTAATCTATTTCAGCCCTACATGGCACAGTCTAATCTATTCCAGCCCTACATGGCTCAGTCTAATCTATTCCAGCCCTACATGGCACAGTCTAATCTTTTCCAGCCCTACATGGCTCAGTCTAATCTATTCCAGCCCTACATGGCTCAGTTTAATCTATTCCAGCCCTACAAGGCTCAGCCTAATCTATTCCAGCCCTACATGGCTCAGTCTAATCTATTCCAGCCCTACATGGCTCAATCTAATCTATTCCAGCCCTACATGGCACAGTCTAATCTATTCCAGCCTTACATTGCTCAGCCTAATCTATTCCAGCCCTACATGACTCAGTCTAATCAATTCCAGCCCTACATAGCTCAGTCTAATCTATTCCAGCCCTACATAGCTCAGTCTAATCTATTCCAGCCCTACATGGATCAGTCTAATCTATTCCAGCCCTACATGGCTCAGCCTAATCTATTCCAGCCCTACATGGCTCAGTCTAATCTATTCCAGCCCTACATGGCTCAGTCTAATCTATTCCAGCCCTACATGGCTCAGTCTAATCTATTCCAGCCCTACATGGCTCAATCTAATCTATTCCAGCCCTACATGGCTCAGTCTAATCTATTCCAGCCCTACATGGCTCAGCCTAATCTATTCCAGCCCTACATGGCTCAGCCTAATCTATTCCAGCCCTACATGGCTCAATCTAATCTATTCCAGCCCTACATGGCTCAATCAAATCTATTCCAGCCCTACATGGCTCAGCCTAATCTATTCCAGCCCTACATGGCTCAATCTAATCTATTCCAGCCCTACATGGCTCAGCCTAATCTATTCCAGCCCTACATGGCTCAGCCTAATCTATTCCAGCCCTACATGGCACAGTCTAATCTATTCCAGCCCTACATGGCTCAGTCTAATCTATTCCAGCCCTACATGGCTCAGTCTAATCTATTCCAGCCCTACATGGCTCAATCTATTCTATTCCAGCCCTACATGGCTCAATCTAATCTATTCCAGCCCTACATGGCTCAGCCTAATCTATTCCAGCCCTACATGGCTCAATCTAATCTATTCCAGCCCTACATGGCTCAATCTAATCTATTCCAGCCCTACATGGCTCAGCCTAATCTATTCCAGCCCTACATGGCTCAGTCTAATCTATTCCAGCCCTACATGGCTCAGTCTAATCTATTCCAGCCCTACATGGCTCAGTCTAATCTATTCCAGCCCTACATGGCTCAATCTAATCTATTCCAGCCCTACATGGCTCAATCTAATCTATTCCAGCCCTACATGGCTCAGCCTAATCTATTCCAGCCCTACATGGCTCAGCCTAATCTATTCCAGCCCTACATGGCTCAGTCTAATCTATTCCAGCCCTACATGGCTCAGCCTAATCTATTCCAGCCCTACATGGCTCAGCCTAATCTATTCCAGCCCTATATGGCTCAGCCTAATCTATTCCAGCCCTATATGGCTCAGCCTAATCTATTCCAGCCCTACATGGCTCAGCCTAATCTATTCCAGCCCTACATGGCTCAGCCTAATCTATTCCAGCCCTACATGGCTCAGTCTAATCTATTCCAACTCAACTTAACCTCCAAATCCAACCTAACCTATCCTTACTTTTTTACAAGTTTATTTTAACAAGATTTACTTTTTACAAGAATTCTAACAAGTTACCCCTTGAAAGACTGGCTTCAGGAATGGTTTAAACCGACCGAAGACCCCAAATTAAAGGAAGACACAAGGCATAAATACATTTATGTTTGCGGATGTTGAGTTTCAGCTCTTTGGACCCTCAACTCTGAAAGATCAGATCTGAAAGCAAAATAAAATATTTGGTTTCATTATCAAGTCGACCAGATAATGGTCCAGTAGGGACAGAAACGTTGTCACTCGTTTTTATTTTCAGATTTAAGGGGTTGGAGGGGGTCTAATTTTCAGCCTTCAGCTCTCTGGTTCCGCCATCTGAGGGATCATTCCTCGAGCACATCTCCAAGGGTACGAGGAGCAGATGATTGTACCTTGTAAAGATCCTCATCTAAGACAAAGATATCATTAACTTCAATAACAAGCTAGACTTCATTAACTAGCGATTAGTTCTGTGATCCACCTGCAGCAGTCTTCAGTCTCCGTTCTGACTTTCTCCATTAAACAGTTGAGCCGAGGTTGTATAAAATTAAAAGTTCAATGAATATTTGTGTATATAAGGGATGAGTGGCCTCGCTGTTAGGGCGACAGTGACCTGAATGTTACAGTGAAAGGGGATGTCGCTGTTATGGCTTCAGTGACCTCCTTGCTAGGTCACTGTGCCATCTTTTTTTAGGCCGCAAGTGATCTCTTCATTAGGTCGCCAGTAGCCTCGCTGTTAGGGCGAGGTTATTGGCGCAGTAACAGCAGTGGAGAAGTAACAACAGAAGCAGTACAGTTGTAGAAGTAGAAGCAGTACAATAGTAGCAGTAGGAGCAGTACAATAGTAGCAGTAGAAGCAGTACAATAGTAGCAGTAGGAGCAGTACAATAGCAGCAGCAGAAGCAGTACAATAGTAGCAGTAGGAGCAGTACAATAGTAGCAGTAGAAGCAGTACAATAGTAGCAGTAGGAGCAGTACAATAGCAGCAGCAGAAGCAGTACAATAGTAGCAGTAGGAGCAGTACAATAGTAGCAGTAGAAGCAGTACAATAGTAGCAGTAGGAGCAGTACAATAGTAGCAGTAGAAGCAGTACAATAGTAGCAGTAGAAGCAGTACAATAGTAGCAGTAGAAGCAGTACAATAGTAGCAGTAGAAGCAGTACAGTTGTAGCAATAGAAGCAGTGGAGCAGCAGCAGCAGCAGCAACAGCCACTACCCCAGTTAAAGTAGTAAAGTCACTAACAGTATAGTGGCATTAGTATATAAATTAGGTTCTACAAAAACTCTTATTTTTTTTTTTTAAATTTCAAACCGGTTTTCAACAGAGAACGATGCTGCGTCATACTTCTACCCCCTTCCCTTCCCCCTTCCCCTTTCGTAGAGTGGGATGAGAACCGGTTGATAATTTACCCAGATAATTAGATATTATTGATGATAATAATATCGATAATAATAATAAAGAGATGACCTCGATAGAGATGGAAAAGTTTTAAGTTATCTGTTTCTTCCTGTGTAATTCTATGTATTCCCCATGTATTCCCATGCACACGCATGTATGTCTATGCAATTGCCTATATTCAGTTTCTCTAACGTTCTAGCACTGTGATCACACTAGTTTTCAGTGCCTAGCTTTGCTTAACTAGCATAGCTAGCAAGCCCCCCCCCATCAACCATGCAAGTCAGCATTCCGCTATGGATATTCCCTAAGAAGCACGAGTCACATTCCAGCCACCGAAATGTCCACAATGAAGATGTTTAAAGTCAGACTGTATGCTTCCAGGGACCTTTTCCTCAAGCAATGCCTCTATATCTGAACCTCCACGGCCGGCATAATATCTGGTAAATGATAATCAGTTAACTGTTTTAGAGTTCTCTGATTCCCGAGTGTGGGTGGAATAGTGGTTGTCGTCAAGAGCCGGATAGACTCGGTCTGTGCTCGAGCTGGATTGCCTCTGCCTGGGCTGGTGAGGGGTTGGTGTCCGTGCCCAAATGCCAAGCCTCTTACAAGTGTGATTTAATCACACTTGTAATTAGTCATCTGGTTGACTAATTAGCAAATGAGAAAGAAATATTGTCTTGTGTGATTAAATGCTTAGTGTGTGTCAGGTGGGTGCATGGTTTAAGGTGATGATGTAGGACTGTAGGTGGTGGTGGTGGTGTGGGACTGTAGGGGTTTAAGCAGAGGTAGAGTCGACGTAGCTGGACACTTCCTGCTAGCGTCGACAGGCTTGTGTCTGTCTCTGTAAGGGTCGACAGGACCAGATACTCCCCTAAAGGTTCGACGTGACTGTGTCTTCCTTTAGCGTCGACGAGAATACACCGTTGAATTCAATTTTGAATATCATTTACACTGTTATCCGGCACGCTAATATTACTCTCTTTTAACTTATATATACGAATGGCAAAAGGGGGAATTTTTCGGAACAACAGTGTCACCAGGGATGGCAGCGACGTCTCCAGGGAAGGCAGCGACCTCTCCAGGAAGGGCAGCGACTCCTTCAAGGACGGCAGCGGCTCTCCCAGGGTCACTGAGCTTCACGTAACGCCGGCTGCCTTTCACCCAGCGGTGGGTAATAGGAGAGACGAACACATCAACGAAACGAGCTCTCGATGACGTGCCGGACCTCACGTAGCCCGTGTGTGTGTGTTTGTGTGTGTGTGTGTGTGTGTGTGTGTGTGTGTGTGTGTGTGTGTGTGTGTGTGTGTGTGTGTGTGTGTGTGTGGTGTGTGTGTGTGTGTGTGTGTGTGTGTGTGTGTGTGTGTGTGTGTGTGTGTGTGTGTGTGTGTGTGTGTGTGTGTGCGTGTGTGTGCGTGTGTGTGCGTGTGTGTGCGTGTGTGTGTGTGTGTGTGTGTGTGTGTGTGTGTGTGTGTGTGTGTGTGTGTGTGTGTGTGTGTGTGTGTGTGTGTGTGTGTGTGTGTGTGTGTGTGTGTGTGTAATTTACTATTTGCATTTATTATTTGTGTCTGCATAATCGAGCTATTATCTCTTGGACCCCAGGCCTTTCTAACCAATCTATTTTTCCTCTATTATATCTACTTCATATACATTTCTCTATTTAACACGCACACACACACATATATACACATCCCCAGGAAGCAGCCCGCAGCAGCTGTCTAACTCCCGGGTACCTATTTACTGCTAGGTGAACAGGAACATCAGGTGAAAGAAACTCTGTCCATCTCACACACACAAAAAAAGGCTGGTATCAATAAACCGTTGGTGATAAAGGGAGATATGGAAGTGATCTGTAAACAGAAGCGGCCATGAGTCAGTGACCTAGAGTGAACTAAGTTAAGAGTCAATGCTGAGTTGTTTTTCTTGATTTTGCCTCAGACTCCTGTCAGAGGTTTCTTGATTTTGCCTCAGACGCCTGTCAGAGGTTTCTTGATTTTGCCTCAGACGCCTGTCAGAGGTTTCTTGATTTTGCCTCAGACGCCTGTCAGAGGTTTCTTGATTTTGCCTCAGACGCCTGTCAGAGGTTTCTTGATTTTGCTTCAGACTCCTGTCAGTGGTTTCTTGATTTTGCCTCAGACGCCTGTCAGAGGTTTCTTGATTTTGCCTCAGACGCCTGTCAGAGGTTTCTTGATTTTGCCTCAGACGCCTGTCAGAGGTTTCTTGATTTTGCCTCAGACGCCTGTCAGAGGTTTCTTGATTTTGCTTCAGACTCCTGTCAGAGGTTTCTTGATTTTGCCTCAGACGCCTGTCAGAGGTTTCTTGATTTTGCTTCAGACTCCTGTCAGAGGTTTCTTGATTTTGCCTCAGACGCCTGTCAGAGGTTTCTTGATTTTGCCTCAGACGCCTGTCAGAGGTTTCTTGATTTTGCCTCAGACGCCTGTCAGAGGTTTCTTGATTTTGCCTCAGACGCCTGTCAGAGGTTTCTTGATTTTGCCTCAGACGCCTGTCAGAGGTTTCTTGATTTTGCTTCAGACTCCTGTCAGAGGTTTCTTGATTTTGCCTCAGACGCCTGTCAGAGGTTTCTTGATTTTGCCTCAGACGCCTGTCAGAGGTTTCTTGATTTTGCCTCAGACGCCTGTCAGAGGTTTCTTGATTTTGCCTCAGACGCCTGTCAGAGGTTTCTTGATTTTGCCTCAGACGCCTGTCAGAGGACAACTAACTTGGCGGCCGCCGCCACCAGTGTCCCGCCGCTCGAGTACACTAGTATAGCTGCCGCTTAAGCGAGCACCTCGCTCACTGTAGCAACATGATGATGGTATATGCCTCCTGGCCCCACCTACAAGCACCTGCCATGCCCCGTGCGTTCCTGGAGTGTGTGTGTGTTTACCTGCTTGCAAGTGTATCTGCGTAAGATACCACTTGCGGTCGTTGTGGAAAGGGCACCACGCTACCTGAGAGGACCTCGTCGCGTCAAGTATCATCATGTCGGGATTTCAATCTATACTTCTAATAGAACGTCGCATTTTGACGTATACTCCACCTAAGGTCAAAAATTGTCGTAATAGAAAATGGTGGCGGCTCGCGAAATTAACATACTGTCCTGTTTTCTGTTTTGGGTCCAGTGATAGGTTAGGATAAAGGTATTTTAGTACGACAGTTTCTTGACCGTTGGGAAATCTTGGAGGACGGGCTGCTCCGTCATCCCATGTATCATAAGCAGTGTCCCGCTACGAGCGAGCTTGAGACCAGTGATCATACCCCTTCCGAACCTCTACGTGTGATGGTAGATTAAATATTGAGGGGGTCGGCCTCACTGTAAGTACAAAAAAAATCACATTTCATTATTAATCGCCTCTCTGCGTGCCGATCTAAATGGTCGACCAGACTGCCTCCTCTTCTGAGCACACCCTACAGGTTATCACGTTGTGGGTGTAGGTTATCCCCCTACACCCACAACGGGTGTAGGGGATAACCATGACAGACCTGGTGATGTATACGTGTGGTATCGCGACCCCTTGTGATACCTCAAGTGAGTGTGATACCTCACGACCTGTCTGGTATCGCGACCTTACGCCTGTAGCTCTTGGGCCCCATCATTATACAGGAGTATTCTCTCTCCTTATGACAATGACTTGAACGTGGATATGAGACAACTTATTCATGTATTGGAACTGGCACATGTTGAGAGACTAAGATGTTCTGCTGACGACAACCGTGAACATCAACTGTGAGGATCAACTGTGAGGATCAACTGTGAGGATCAACTGTGAGCATCAAGTGTGAGCATCAACTGTGAGCATCAACTGTGAGCATCAACTGTGAGCATCAACTGTGAGGATCAACTGTGAGCATCAACTGTGAGCATCAACTGTGAGCATCAACTGTGAGGATCAACTGTGAGCATCAACTGTGAGGATCAACTGTGAGCATCAACTGTGAGGATCAACTGTGAGCATCAACTGTGAGCATCAACTGTGAGGATCAACTGTGAGCATCAACTGTGAGGATCAACTGTGAGCATCAACTGTGAGCATCAACTGTGAGGATCAACTGTGAGCATCAACTGTGAGCATCAACTGTGAGCATCAACTGTGAGCATCAACTGTGAGGATCAACTGTGAGCATCAACTGTGAGCATCAACTGTGAGGATCAACTGTGAGCATCAACTGTGAGCATCAACTGTGAGCATCAACTGTGAGCATCAACTGTGAGCATCAACTGTGAGCATCAACTGTGAGCATCAACTGTGAGCATCAACCACCAGGGAACTACTGTAAAATTCTATAACACGACGTGAAGGGAATCTGAAGTGCCAGACAAGAGCCCGTCCACTCTGTCCTCACAGCTAATTCGTCCTCATTCTGTACTTAATCGTCCCCCCCAACGTACAAATTACGAAGTACAGTGAGACGGAGCTGCTCTCAAATATCCACGTTTTCTAAACATCGGTTAGGTTAGGTTAGGTTAGGGTACATCATCAGTACAAACCCCTACATCTTTCCTTAAACATTATAGCTTTGTTTCTCATTTATTCAAGAGTTTACAACTTGGAAGCTTCACAATCGAGCGTAGTAATTATTGTTATAAACAGCCTTGCAGTGAATTAACCATCCCCGAAGAAAGATGTATAAGTTTCGTAAAGTGCTTGTGATAATGAATGATGAATCCTGGCCAATGACGTATAGCCATATCCCCCCCCCCCCCCCTCCTCTCTCATAGCGTGCAGGGAGAGCTGGCCGTTAATGATCGTACCTCACGCAACGCACGCAAAAGATGACGCAATCTCATTCCCACGTGAATACACAAAAAGCGCGAGCAATTAATTGCCCAAACACGCTTTTTTGTGTTTGTTTGTTTTACATTGTTGACGTTAATGATTTGAGGCGAGTTAGTGAGTGGCGCTGAAGACCTCCGGAGAGCTTCTGACTATAAAACTCTCGCAATTATAGCGGTACCAATTATTCTTATCAGATAACCAGAGTTAAGCAGAGAAGGTGGTGGGGGAAGAGTGGGTAGGGAGGAATGGGAGATTGGGGGAAGGGGGGTGGGGTACGAGCTAGGGGGGAAGGGGAAAGGGGGGTTTGAGGGTTAGAAGGGAAGAGGGGGGGAGGGGATGAAGAGGGGGCTTGAGAGATGTGAAGCAAGATGAAATATGAGAGGGAGGGAGTGAGACACGTGGGAGAGAGAAGGGGGGGGGGAAGGTCCTAGGGACGTGAGACACCTGAGGAGCTAAGACGTAAATAGAAATGAAGGAACATGATGGGGGAGATGGAGAGATACGGAGAGAAGAGGACAGGAGTGCGAAGAGAGGAAGTAGAGAGAGGGCGTGGATGGGGTTCAAACTCTTTCCTCTACTAATTCTACTCACACCAGCGATCTTATCAACTCTTTCCCATGTGTAAGACTGAAGATCATAGACCACCCAAACATGGGGCCCGCTAGCTATCCGCATGCGGCCCGCGACCCAACTCCTTGCCTCAACCTACCCTGAACACCCAACTAACAGTTTAAACAAAAGATCCTGCATATGCATTAGCAAATCACAGTGTTTCCATCTGAGGTCTGTCAGAGTGAGAATGCTGCCTTTCCTGCACCGTAGGACGTTTGTACTTGCCTTGATATGCTTGCGGGGGGTTGAGCTTCAGCTCTCTGAATATCAGTCCAGTATATTCCATTTATTTATTGGTCCAGATAGACTAGGGAGGAGCTTTCAGACGTATATTAGACGTGACAGCCTTGAACAGTAGTCGATAATTTGCTTGGGCTGTGTTGATTGGTTTCTAAGCATTGGCGTAAAGGGTGAGGCAGTTGAAGTAAATCACAACCTATGTCTGAAATTTCCGATACCCAACCTACTCTTCTGGGAATACAGGGAGTCAACTGAGTGTCTAAACACCAACATGATTAAGTTGTAAACATGAGGTGACTGTTGACAAAGAATACAACGCCCGTTGTCGCCATGGAAGCTTCGTGCCCACAAGCATGATAATATACAGGAGACAAAGACCGTGACGATATAGATGAGAAGTTGGAGCGTCGTTATGTTAGTACCTTGGATCAATATCTGGAGCCAAACGTCTCACAGGATCAAGTGTTTTCTTCAAAGATTATGTCCATGTGTGGAAACACGTCTCTGAACAATTTGATTTTGTAAAGAACTTTAAAAATCCCGACTTCGTTCTCAGGCACGCATTATGTGCAATCCCACGAACTCTGGTCCGGCCAGAGTTCGAATCCCACGAACTCCGGCCCGCTATAGCAAGCGGGTGCGAGCCTCCAGTTATAAAGAGTATCAAGTCTTATACACATTTCTCACACGTGCCTCTTGAATATCTAATTGTTTTGTTTGTGTGTGTTAGTGTGTAACAAATATCTTATTTATTTACATCTCTCATCTCTTAATAAAGGCTGTGTTTGTTTTGTATTGTATCTCATATCTGTTGTTGCGGATCTAAACGTGTAACTGAGACTAACTTCTCATGTGCCTGCTACAAGAGCAGGGATTGTGAGAGTGGATGAACTGGTTGCCACCATACTCATGCCACAATATCCACTAAGAGTACATTTTCCTTATATATAAGCCGAGAAACAGGATATACTTTGTTTCTGATGTGAAAACTAGGTTTTCTTGTTCACGGGATAGTTAAGGTCACAGCAATTGCTTTACTGACCAGTCAATAATTATACTTTAGCTCTGAACATAGTGTATCCACTGAGAATACACTTTAGTCCTATATGGCATATCGTGAGGTGGGATACACCTTTCGGTGTATAGAGTGGTGATGTATAAGGACTTTACTGGAGTCATGTCATATATATATAAACATGAGCTGTTGACTTCTTATCTGTGACGCAAGAAGCGTAGCTCCGCCCACCTTAGCTATAACCAGTGACGTAACAAGCTCGCTCCACCAATACAGCCTTGGCCAGTGACGTAGCAAGGCAGTTCCACCAACCACAACCCTTTGTTAGTGCCAATAATAATATACATAGCCGGACGCCAAGGTTTATGTTAGTGACGTCACAAGGTCTCTACTAGTGACATCACAGATCATCTCTTGTGATAATGTGTATCATATTATCCATATCCCTGTCGCTCTGACAATAGAATATCCCCATTATGGAAGCATTGACACACTTTTAATACTTTTACCACAGCTCTAAGTCTCTCTCTCTCTCTCTGTCTCTCTCTCTCTCTCTGTGTCCCAACTTACCTGAGCACCTATCTAGAACATGCTTAAAACATTCAATAACATGAATAAACGCCAGAGACGGCGACAGGCAATCAAGCTATTTGTAGCTGAAGAGGCAAATTGTTTCCAGAAACTTGTTACGAGAACCAAGACTTTTCCAACAGATCTTCACGCTGTTACCAGACAAAACATTGTGTAAGAGAGAAAATTTAAATTTATTTGGGAATGGTCAAAGACGTGGACAATTTCAAGATCATTTTGAAATAAAAATCTCTCTCTCTCTCTCTCTCTCTCTCTCTCTCTCTCTCTCTCTCTCTCTCTCTCTCTCTCTCTCTCTCTCTCTCTCTCTCTCTCTCTCTCTCTCTCTCTCTAACCAACTAACGCGATAACTAGAACCCCCCTATAGCGACCCGGTCTTAATGGTACCAGCGTCAATTAACTTTTAATGCTAATCACACCCACTAATAATATATTCAGCTCTCAACCCTCTTAATATTGTATATTAATGATGGTTGCATAACTGAGTACGGCATGTGAGGATGAGAGGGGAGGAATTTGTCGAGAGATTCGGTGAGAGAGAGAGAAG